GCCGGAAGCTTTGTGTACCGATCGCTCGACACACGAACCTTACGGGAGCACTCTTCGACCGCTGATGTGAGGTGAGTCGATAGGGCGCTAATCGCCCTATTGGCTTCCTCCGGCGAGTCTATCTTGTCCGGTATTGAGTCTAAATGCTGGGAGTTCGTAGACTCAAGTTTGACCTTGAGCTTACGCCAGTCGACGATGGTTTTGGTCTGAGGGACCTCACCAGCCGACCGGCCCAGTTCTAATACGATCGGCCTATGGTCCGAGCATAGTTCGATGAAAGTTTCGATCGAGTTAATGTTAAGCCGGATGTCTTTTAAAATAGCTACGTCAAGGACGTCCGGTTGGTGACTAGTTATAAATGGGTAGTGAGTTGGGCTCTCAGGAGCGATAACGTCGAAGTTAAGTCTCTCCGTGAGGCCGCATAATATGTTTCCGTTTGGATTGTTTAGGTTAGAGTTCCAACTAACGTGCTTACTGTTTAGGTCACCCGCGATTACTACGCTGGGGCCTAGATTTAGTAGTGCCGAGATGTCGGCTTCTAATAAGGGTTTTTGCGGTGGCTGATATGCCGAGGCAATTATGACGGGCGGATGGCCCGTAAGTGCTATTCTACATACCGATGCTTCTAAGTTAGCAAGCGGTGGAGTGTCTAACGGTATACAGTGCAAGGACCTTTTGTAGTAGATCAAGGTGCCGCCTTTAGGTCCGGTCAGCCTATCATTTCTTACTAAGGTATAATTAGCTATTTTGGGATCGCGCACGCTAGGTTTCAAGAAGGTCTCCTGCACTAGCATGATGTCGACATCATGATCGCGTAAAAAGTACACGATTTCTTCCTTTTGATCTCTGATGCCGTTTGCGTTAAAGAACGCGACAGTCAGTGAGCTAGGTTTGGTTCTGCCTGTATGTTGTACTGCCATTTTGTTTTAGAGAGATTATTATTTAGGCGCATTGGAATGAACCGATCGCGTCGATGAGATTGATATGCTCAATGGTGGCATTGAGCTTATCTTGAGCGGATTTGGCCTCGCGTAGTTTACGGGCCAGGGAAGACACTTCGGCAACATTAATATTATTGAAGAAGCTGCAGACTAACGAGAAGTCAGCAGCGAAGGTAGAAGATGCCTGAGGGGCAAGTTTGGGCTTTTGAGCCTGGAGAGAGGGCGCTGGCCGTGAGGCGGCCGCGCTAACAATCGCCGGGGGCTTAACCCATGCGTTCGACGCGGGTGCTGAAGGCACCGATGAGCTTACACCTTGCCCGGAAGACCCTTTAGCGGGGGCGGGTTTGGTGTGAGGCTGAGGGGGCGCGGGTTGAGACACCGAGATCGGTGCTAATGATGGGGCATGTTGCCTAGGACGGGACCTACTAGCGCTAGCCGCTCGTCCGCGCCGGTTTGCGCCTCCGCGCCACTTTCTACGCGGCGCTTTGGTACACCCGCGATAGTTCGCTGGGTGTCCCGCTTCGCCGCACAGAACGCAGCTCGGAGGGCCTTCCGACTCGGGCGTTCGGGTGCACTCGGGTGTGCCGTGGTCACCTAGACACTTAACGCATCTAGGTTTCGCATAGCAATTTTTGGCCGAGTGGCCATACAGTTGGCATCGGTGGCATTGACCAACGATGCCCCTATTACGGGGGGCCTCTACCGTAATCCCAGTGAGATTACAGATTCGGTGAATATTGTAAATTTCTTTCCCTTCCGGGGACAGGTCTAAGATAACTAGACAAAGGTCTAGGTATCTTTTTTTGTCGGTGGGGTGGTGCATTCTGTGCACTTCCCTAACCGGGAGATTCTGCGATTTAAGATCGCTTAAAATGTGCTCGGTTTCGAGCTCCTTAGGGAGCCCGCGAACGACTACGCGGAGGTTGCGTTCTTCCGCAAGGGCGTAAGTATGGAAGCTCAGTTTCTGAACTTTAAGATGCGCAGTTAAAGCGCGGAAGTCATCCGTCGTTGAGACGTGGATGCGTATGCCCTGGCCACCATTGTGGACCTTTGGGCAAAAGATTTTTTTGGAGTCAATCCAATGCGAAAGGTTGCTCCATCGGGATTTATCCTGAAGGATGATCGGGGGCGGCGGTTTTTCCTTGCGCACCGCGGCGGGTTCAGAGTTCGCGATTTTGGCGATTTTAGGGCGCGCTGAAGGCGCGGTCTTTTTAGCCGGAGTGGCGTTAGGTGACGACGACGGGGACGAAGGGGCCGAGTGAGGCTCGGCGCCCTTTTTCGCGGCGGGACGTTTACGTTTTTTGCCCGAGACTACGGTGAAGCCTTCGTCATCGGGCATGGCGGGTTTCGCGACGTCGAACTCCATTTCGGAGCCCGTCTCGGCGTCCGAGAACGCCGGGGACGGCCCACGAGTGGAGAGCGCAGAAGGCGCGGGGGATCCTACGTCATAAAGCGTTTCTACGGACGCGGGGGTCGCGGGTCCGGTGCTGGGCGACATAGGGTCGTCCACCAACATGGTCGGACGTTCAGCAGCGGGCGTTTGGCGTTGCGCTAGAAAGGTCGCCCAAACGTCGGGGCACGCACGACTGAAAAAGTCGGCGAGTTCGGCTATGGTTATAGCCGCCATCTTGTCTTGTTTTTAAGAAAACACTTGTGTACCAAGCTCCCCCACCTCACGGCGGGGGAGGTGTGTGCTTAAACGAACACCTATATACCTAACGCGTTGGTACGTTAGGGTGTGTACCTAGCTGTCGCCTAATGCGACAAGCGAACACAGAGATTAATACAATAACAATATAATAGCCGCCTCTGAGGCGGCACGGCGGTGTGTAATAAACTACTTACAGTTTTTACTGGAAATTGGCAGAGCGTGGGGCACTACACTAATCCCTAACACAATAGAACAATGGGCCGGCGGGCCGATGCAACCTGACGGCGGCAATGACGCACAACACCACTGAAGCACTTCGAGCACTTAATCCTTTTATTGTCTTTTTTTTCGCACAATTGCAACTTAGTAATTCGGGAGCGCATGGGCTCGACCGAAGAATACGTCCGCGCGGCTTGAGCGCAGACAACCGAATTCCTCTCACTAATTTTTTTAAACTCGCGACGTTCCTTTATATAGCCAGCATCGATTCGCCACTAGGTGGGGTGGGGATCGCGAACGCAACACGTTTGCGCGGTCGGTCCGGTCAGACTTTTAGTTAGTTGGAAAATCTCATTTTTAAATAAAACTAATTTTACGGATTTTATCGCGTATATTAACTTATTTTTATATTCCCGACGTTTCGACAAACAAAAAGATCTATTAAAACCCGCGTTAAAGAACATATAGCTGACGTGAAGCACCGACGTATCGGGAAGTCTGCAGTTTGTGAACATGTTCAGGATCGTCCCCGTCATTACATTAGATTTGATAGACCACAAATCCTCGCAAAAGAACACCGATTCCTCCCAAGGATGATTCGCGAGGCTATTGAAATTAAAAAACATCCTAATTTCAATAGAGAAGATGGATGGGTGCTGCCATCTGCTTGGGATCCCATAATTAATAAAATCAAATCCAAACCCAAGTATACCACTGCTAGACTTCAAGATACTGTAAGCTCATTCTGCGTAAATCGAACCAAAAATTAATATTAAAAAACTGAAGGTAGCCGGGCTAACTATGACAGCAGGACGTCAAACAACTCAGTCCTCCGTGACCACGGGTGCTGGAAAGCACCCGAAACGTCGGGAATATAAAAATAAGTTAATATACGCGATAAAATCCGTAAAATTAGTTTTATTTAAAAATGTGTAGTGTTCGCGTAAATATAAGAAATCATTATGGAAAATCTCAAGTCAGAGTTGGGAGTTGGGAGTTGGGAGTTGGGAGTCGGGCAGTCGGGCGAGGGCGAAACGAATGTACTTGTAAAGAAGAAAAAAAGAAGAATACTAGGTAGCAGCAATAGGATATAACGCGTTAGAATAGAATAGTATAATATATCGTCGTCGAAGAGGAAGAAAAACGAAAAACTGTAACAAGAAAATTAGGGAGTGTGAAAGTGATAATATTATTTATATACATAATATTATACGTGTTACGTTCGTGTAGGGTCTCGTCGCGTCGCGTCGCGTCACGTCGCGTCGCGTCGCGTCGCGTCGGTCGGTCGGTCGGTCGGTCGGTCGGTTCGGTTCGATTCGATTCGATTCGATTCGGTTGTGTTATCTATTTTACCTAGGCACCTATTAAAATTTTTTTAAAAGTGTGAACGTAGTACGTTGAATTCGTTGAGTAGGTGGTGTGTATATATATATATATATATATATATATATATATATAGAGGTATTTAGTGTTTCGTAAATTGTTGTAACGCATTTACGACGCATCTACGTTTATTGTTTTAATATACGTGTATTTAGCTTATTCGAATTTTAATACCTACTTAGTTAAATCGTTATCGTGCGTTCATAAGTTGTGCGTTCGTTATTTCGTTGCAATGTTTACATAATTACATAATATTTTATATTATATTATATAGAACTGCCTGACAGACTGATTTGATTGAAGTGAGGGACGGTGCGATATATATAATATAGGTAGGTAATATATATAATAAGGCAATCATTATGATTGACGCGTGACGTATAAGAAACTCATAGGAAATTTTTGTTAGCCCTGAAAAGGGCTTTTTAGCATTGCGGTCGCTCGCGCATATTCGTATACGACGCGACACACGTACACCATTTATTTTTATAGGTATTATTTATAAGAATAAAATAAAAATAAATAGGCCCGATGCCGCGGCGCTACGAGGCACTCGCGTTCACCCGCGAGGATCCTTCTCCCGTCCCGTCCGTCCCGTCCGTCCCGTCTTGCTGTCACTCTGCCTGCCTGCTTGCCTTCCTACCTACCTACCTACCTACCTACCTACCTACCTACCTGTCTCTCAGCAGCATCAGCCTGCATGCACTACACAATCACATACGCGCGTGACAATTACGCGTACGAGTACGTACGTAGGTAGGTACGGCGGCGGTGGTTATGACGACGGAAGGCGGTGACAGCGGACCTTACTTTTTAGAAGCGGCTGCCTTCTTCGATGCCGCCGCGGAAGGCTTCGATTTGGGTGTTGCCGCCTTCTTCGGTTTTGGAGCCTTAGGTTTCTTTGTCGGTGGTTTGGCGCTCTTTTTCGCCTTCGAAGCGGCGCCTTTCGCCTTAGAAACGCCGCTTTGGCAAGCGGTTGCGGATTTTCTTGCGGCTGCCGGCTTCTTTTTCGCGGCGGCCGCCTTCTTGTCCTTGGTAGCTGCAGACGGTTTTGCCTTAGACGGTGATGATGCGGTCGCTGCCGATGCTGTCTTTTTACCCTTACCCGCGGCGGTGCTCTTCTTCACCTTCGCCGACACCGAGCTAGCGGCGGACGCGCCGCTCTTTGCGCCACCGCTGCTCTTACCCGTCGACGGTTTCTTAGAGGCGGACGATTTTGATTCAAGCTTAAAGGAACCGGAAGCCCCCTTGCCCTTTGTCTGTATAAGCGCACCCGATTCGACTGCGCTCTTCAGGTACTTTCTGATGAACGGAGCTAGTTTTTCAGCGTCGACTTTATATTGAGCGGCAATATATTTTTTTATCGCTTGCAAAGATGATCCACTGCGCTCTTTCAGCTCTTTAATTGCGCTGGTGACCATTTCGGAAGTCTTCGGATGAGTGGGTTTCGCCTTGGGCTTCTTTGCACCACCTGCTGCAGTAGCGGCGGCCTTCGGTTTTTTCGCCCGAGTCGCCGGAGCGGGAGTTTCGGAAGCTACTGCTGTATCTGCCATTACTTCGTAGTAGTAGTATTAGATCACAAACGAACTACAAACACTGACTCACACAACTCGCGATAGATGATAATAACAAAGGAAAATTGTAAATTGTTGTTATATATCGTACACAAATTGATATTACGTAGGATAATACACAGGTGGCGACAGTGGTGGTTCATCTCCTTGTGGAGGTTTTCATGTGTCGAGGAGACCCTCTTTACATGGGCGGCATCTCAGGAGGACACGACCCCCCGGTCCTGGGTGCTGCGTTGGCAGCTTATATGTAGGTGTATTGCGCACCTCGCGCCATCACGTCGAGTGTCGGGACGCTCACTCACCCCCGGCGTCCCCTGTGCCGGGCAGTGAGCGTAGAAGTTCACGTGGGAGTGGTCGCCCGTCAGGTGGGCGGGCGTGGTGGGGAGCAAGATTTTGAAGGTGTAGGTGTGGCCCGTTGTCTGCGCGGTCGAACAACCGTCTCGCAGAACGGACCACAAAATCATGAATGGTTTCGACCTTGAGGTCGCGAGAAATGATGTCATTCCTGACGTAGCGACCGGCTCCCACGATCACCCGGAGCGCAAGATTTTGCTGGGCCTGCAACCTCTTGCGCTGAGTGGCCGAGGTCAACGCGTACCAGGCTGGTGCTGCGTAGGTCAGCCGCGAGCGGATGTAGGTTTTGTAGATACCTATTTTCGTTCTTGTTGGGAGTTTGGATGCCAGTATAGGGTATAGTTTCGCTCGCGCTGCTCTGGCCTGTCTCACAACGTGATTGACCATCGGGGTCATGCGCAGCGAGCGATCTATCTGGCATCCTAGGTACGTAATGGTACTACTCCAACCCACATCCTGCCCGCGGAGTTGCAGAGTTGGTGGTGTTCTGGCCAGCCTGGTCATGAAGGCGACGGTCTTCCCGACATTGACCGCCAGCCTCCATTTGTCCAGCCACTCAGGCAAGAGGTCGAGTACCCGCTGCAATTTCTTAGCAGCTATGTCCACCCGACGTGATGACGCGAAGTACGCACTGTCGTCGGCGTACAAGGCTAGGACAACGTCATCCTCCCATTCCTCCAGATGGCCTTGGAGGGTGGGGATGTCGTTGGTGTAGACCGCGTACAGGTGCGGTGATAGGCAGCTGCCCTGTGGCACTCCCGCAGAAATCGGTCGTGCCGCCGAAACAGCCCCTTCCAAGGAGACATGGAAGCTCCGCCCCTCCAGGAATGACGCTATTAACCGCACAAGCATGGGCGGTAAAGTGGTGTGCTGAATGAGTTTATAAACTAGCCCTGCGTGCCACACCCTGTCGAAGGCCTTCTCCATGTCGAGAAGGACCCCCACACAGATGCGGCCGAAGTTATATTCGGCCGCAAGATAGTGCAGCACGCGGGCCAGCTGAGAGGTTGTGGAATGTCCCCTGCGGAAGCCAAATTGCTCCTCACGCAGGGTAACATGTGGGAGAACCCTGTTCAGGGTGATTTTTTCAAAAAGTTTTGCTATGTGCGGCAATAGCGTTATGGGGCGGTAGCTGGCCGGGAACCTCCTATCTTTTCCCGGCTTCGGCAGCACGATGATTCTGCCCTGCTTCCATATGGACGGGAAGTGGCCAGTCCGCAGGATGCCATTATACAGACTGGTGAGTGCCACTATTACCCTTCTGGGCAGCTGCTTTATGGCAATGGTGGTAATGCCGTCGTAACCCGGCGCTTTACGGCTAGGTAGGCGCATAATAGTGCGCCTTACCTCTGCTGGAGATATGAAATCGCCGCCTCGCAATGGCGGCGCCGGGTTAGAGAGGTATTCCCGTACGCGGTCCTCTATGCCTTGTACGTGGTCTGCGTACCCCTCTGCTATGCTGTTGGGTATGAACTGTTGTTCTAGGTGCTGTGCCATCAAGTCCGCTCTAGGTTGGGCGTCGTAAATCCTACTCCCCGTGCTGTCCACCAGTGGGCAGACAGGTGGTGGTGTCTTGGAGAGCTGCCGGTTGAGGAGATGCAGGGAGGCGGGTGTCTCCGAGGCTTCGTCGACTCGCCTCTCCCATGCTTCTCCCCTGTAAGCTCTCATTGCTTCCGACAGCTCTTCCGTCATAGCGTTTAGTTTGGTTTTGATCCGTGGGCATCGTGTCCGTGCCCAGAGCCTCCTCATCTTCCGCTTCTCGGATAGAAGCGTTTGCAGATTGCGTGGGAGTCCCTCCTTCCCGCGCCCCGTGGCGACAGGGTGAGAGTGTAGTTGGAGTTGCTCTTTTATAGTGTTGTGAAGATGTAGGGCCGCAGTCTCTACATCTTCACTGGTGGTAATTGGGGCGCAAGGTTGGAAGTCCTCCAGCGCACTACAAAAGCGGGTCCAATTTGTCTTCATTCGGAGACTTCTGGGCACCATGGCATCCACACTGATGTCGATAGTAATCAGCACGGGGAGGTGTTGTGTATCTATGTCATACAACACTTCTAACCGTGTTGCATACGGCACTAGATGACACAGCACAATGTCAAGAACATCGGGCTTATGTTCTGGCTTTGTCGGGATATGGGTGGGCTCATCAGGGCCCAGCACCTCGTACCCCCACTCCTCGGCGTCGTCGAACAGTTTCCTGCCGGGTGGTGTGATCAGCGCGGAGCCCCAAGCGGGATGTTTCGCGTTGAGGTCTCCGGCGATTATTGCGGGTGTCGTAGAGTCAAATATGGTACGTATGTCTTGGGGGGCAAATGAGGTGCCGGGAGGTCTGTAGGCAGCAAAGATTCTAATTTCTCTGGTGCCTACCTTCAGCCTTATACCCTTGGTTCTGGTGGATATAAATTGTGTATTGGTGCCAACTTCTTCGTGCATGACGTCCCTCCTCACAAGGACCGCAGTACCTCTGTACGCGATACCTTCTGAGGAGATCTCGTCATGTCGGTACACGAAGAAGTTGGGGAGTTTTAATTGAGCAGAGGGGCGCAGTTTGGTCTCCCCCAGCAGCACAATTTGGATATTGTGCTGCTGGACCAGGGTTCTCAGGTCGGCGACCTTCCCTAAGATGCCGCCGGGGTTCCAGTAGACCATCCTAAGTTGATGGCCTGCTGACAGATGTTAGTTGGGCTAAGGCCGTTAAGATGGCCGAAAGGGGGTTGGTGCCGGTGGTCATGGCAGTCAGGACCTCTCCTAAGATCCTGATTACCACGCCCACCAGTTGAGCGAGGGCCTCCTCGATGGTGGTTGGTGCCTGGGGCTGTGTTAGGGGTGTGACAGTTATTGTCCTTTTGGGTGGGCGTTGATCTCGGGGTTGGGGTGCAGATTGCTCGTTCTGATTTGATGGAGGGAAGGTATATCGCAGTTGTGGCAGTGGTAGTCGCTGTTCATTGGTGGTGTTGGGTGGAGGAAGAGGAGTTGAAGTACCACCCACTTGAGCTGTTTGGGTGGTTGCCTTCTTCTTCTTCTTCTTCTTGCCTCTTTTCCTCTTTGGGCGCTCTATGCGCTCCGTGGGATCATTCGCCGGTGGAGCTAATGTCGCCCCAGTCGTCGCGAATGTAGTAGGCGCTGGTGCTAATGTCACCTGCCGCTGCTGCGGTTGAGGCGCCTGGTGTTGCGGTTGCTGCTGTTTTTGCAGCTGTTGGGGTTGGAGTTGTGTTTGTCTTTGGGGCAGTGGTGGTTGCCACTGTTGTGGAGGTGGTTGTTGCGGTGCTCGTGCTGGTTCGCGCTGCGGGGGCATGGGAGGCTGTATGTTGATGCCTCTTTTCCTCGCAATTCGCTGCAGCACTGGGCATCGCCTGTCGTTTGCGGCGTGATCCCTGCCGCAGTTGGCGCATTTGGGCTGTGTATCTCTCGGTTGTGGGCAAGCAGAGGCAAGATGGTCACCCGCACAGCGTACACATTTGAAGGGCCGGTAGCAGTTGTAAGATGCGTGTCCGAACCCTTGACACCTGTGACACTGCGCAGGGCCAATTCTGCCTGTCCATCCTTCAATTGTAACTCCCGGCATGTAAAGGAGCTCATCAATTTTGTACAATCTGTTGAGCTCTTCAGGACTTAGGTGGTTCATCTTTACATGAAAGAGGCAGCCAGGCCTGCCTCTTTTTGGTGGTATTGCTCGAACAAATGTAACTGGAAAGCCCTTCTCTATGAGGGCCTCCTGTATGTCCTTTGGATCAGTGTCGGCAGGGAGCCCTCTTAACCCCACCTTCGTGGGTTGCTCCTCCTGTGGGGCGTAGCAATACCACACGAAGGTGGCGTCCTCCTTGCTTTTGTCAATCAGGTACCGTTGGACCTTCCTATACTCGTCGTCGGACTGGGGCCGAAAACGGACCCCCTTCCCAAACGGGCGAGCATTCGGGGCGTGGCCCAACAGCTGATGTATGATTTTGAAGTGCTTCGCCCAATTGGGGAAGCACTCCACTATAATTGGTGGATATTTGGTCGTTTGGCTATTATCTGATTGTTGTGGTTTTTGTGCAGGTGGTGGTGGTGGTGATGGTGGCGCTGATCTCGGCGCTGCTGCAATGTGCGCATAGGAGTCCGGCGCTGACGATGGTCCAGGTATGGGTTCATAATTGGAGGTTTGAGCATCTTGCATAGGGGCAAGGGTAGCGTACGACGTTTTGCCTCCCTCTCCCCCTGATGGTTGCCCACCCGTCCTCTTGGATTTCAACCCTCGGGCGACTCTGAGGGACCCTCTGCGGTGCTTCCGGCAGTAAACCCGGCAGAGTGATCCCTTGCTTCCTGGCGATCCTCCTCAGGACTGGGCAGCGTCTGTCGTTAGCTGTGTGGCTTTTTGCGCAATTTGCGCACGTCGGTGGTTCTTCTCTACCCCGTGGGCAATTACTTGCAATGTGTTCCCCTGCACAGCGGACACATTTCACGGGTCGATGACAGTTGGCAGATGCGTGGCCAAAAGCCTGGCAACGGTGGCATTGAGCCGGTCCCACTCGTCCTTGCCAGGCTTCTATGACGACTCCTTTCATGAAAAGGAGCTCGTCGACTGCGTACAATTTATTCAGGTTCTCTATGTTCAAATGGTCCAGCTGTGCATAGTAGAGGCACCCAGG